TCAACTCCCAGAATTCCTCAGCCAGCTGGCTGAGGAATTCTGGGAGTTGAAGTCCACAAGTCTTAAAGTTGCCAAGGTTGGACACCCCTGGTGTAGGGTCTCTTGCTTGGGCAGTGGGGTTGGACTAGATGACTGACAAGGTCCTTTCCAACTCTGTTAATCTGTTCCTTGCAAATGTTTCATTGAAGTTAGAACTAAAGATGTTTGCTGATGTTAGAACTGAAGAAGCTTGGACGAGAAGCGAAACATTTGCGGGGGGGGAGGGGAGACCCAAATGCCTTTTGGAAAACCACCTTTGAGTCGATGGCTGCAACTTTTTCCTTGGTCTCCTATTGTGACATCACAAAGGAACGCCTGGTCTTCTGGATGGAACCCCGGCGTGTCTTCTCTTCTGTGGGAGCCCCCTCCCCGCTTGCAACCAAGCCAAGGAGGAATTTGCTGAAGGGTCTACATTGCCAGAGAGGTGAAAAGGAGCAAACAGCACCATGGATTACCTTATGGTGCCAACCTCGGCTTCCCCGATGGAGAAACAAGACCAGGACATCTTGATTCATGGAAAGCAGGAGCCTGCAACTACTCCAGGCATCCCACTGGACTTCAAGCCAGAGCCTTCCATCATCATACCAGCTGCACCAACCACGGATAAAATCACCCATAAGCCTAGCAAGGTCCACAAAAGCCGGCGAGGCTCAAAAATATCCTCGAAAATGAAACGTGAGTGTCCCTGGGAAGCAGGAGGGAAAAAGAGATGGATGGCAGGGGTAGGAAGCAATCCTGGAGGGGGGGGGGGAAATAAACCTTCACCGGGGGGGGGGGGGGGGGAAATGGGAACTGATGAGGCCTTTCTGAGAGTTAAGAGGGGACAGGGAGGATTTCTTGGACAACAGGCGGAGGAGTCTGCCTGCAAAAGTTCCGTGGATACCTCCGAAGGCTTTTGAGAAGTTTTTAGGAGCTTCATCCCCGGAAGCTTTCAAGAAGCAACTGGACTGACCATCTGTCAGAAGTGGTGTAGGGCGAAATGATGTGTATCAATGGTTAGATAAGAAAATAGAGAAGTAAAATGTGTTTAAAAAAAAGGAATGGTATAATATGCAAGATAACATAATATTATATAATTGAATATAATGAATTGTATGTTCTCAGATTTGTTAAAACTGAGATTTGCTCGATAAGAATTATGTGAAGTTGTAGTTGAGTCTAATAATGATATAATAATAATACAACACAATACAATATAATATGTAGAGTTGACTTATGTAATATGGAAGGGTAAGACCATTGATATTATGACATTGCACAAAAGAAATGTACCAACCGACATACTGTATTTTGGAAGATGATTTTATGTTGATGTTTATGTTTGTTAGTGTTTGTCTTTAAAAAATACTTTAAAAAAAGAAAGAAAGAAAGAAATGGTGTAGGGCCTCCTGTTTGAACAGAAGGTTGGACTAGATGACGTACAAGGTCCCTTCCAACTCTGTTAATCTGTTAATTTCATAAGAAGATGGAACTTTCTGTGGCTGTTTTGCACATTGCAGAAGGTTGGATGTGATCGTTGGGTTCCTTCCAACTCTACACTTCTGTGGAATACAGGTACTCCTCCACTTAACGACCACAGGTGAGGCCAGAATTTGTGTTGCTAAATGAGGCATTTGTTTAGTGAGTTTTGCCCCCTTTTTATGACTTTTCTTGCCACAAGTTGTTCAGTGAATCCCTCTAGCTGTGAAGTCAGTAACACGGTTGTTAAGTGAGCCTGGGCTTGACTTCGCTGGTCAGAAGGTCACAAAAGGGGATCGAACGACCCCAGAACAGTGCAACCGTCATAAATATGAGTCAATTGCTGAGCATCTGAATTTTGATCATGTCATTAAAAAATACCAATAGGAATCAGACAGCAACACAAACAAAAATTCTTACTTTAAGATCAGAGGTTTATTGTTTCTAATAATTTGGAACATAAGAAATGAATAGATATAAAAGATATAATAGCAGTAATACGCTTACATTAACAAGCCATTGCAATGGGGTCCAATGACATACAGCAGATCCTGCAAGGACTGCTATAAATCAAAGGGCCCCGAGCTGATCTCCGACCCTGTCCTTTATACTTTTCTTCTAAGCACATAACACGCTTCACAACTTCACTAACTGTCACTTTCCTTAAACACCTGTGTACATTACTTTCAGTTTCTCATTTCCAACAGTTTCAATCTTCCTGTTTTAAACTTATCCATCCACTTTGCAAAAATATGTTTTCACAGTTAGCAACGTCTCAGCAGGATTACAAATAGTTCTGGTATATTTTGAAACCTAGCTGAAAACTTTGGTTCATGTCTCTTTCTTCTGGGGCCTGTTATCATCCACAGGGCTTATTGAATCTGACAGAGCAATAAGCTATATCCTCGATTCTCACCATCACGTGACCATGGGAATGCTGCAACTGTTATAAGTGTGAGAAACGATCGTAAGTCGCTCATTTCAGTGCCATTGTAACTTCGAACAGTCACTAATTGTTGTAAGTTGAGGACTTCCAGTATTTATGTGTTATCTCCTGCCCATCATGCAGCGACTCGAGGCTGGGTACACAGCGTAGTAGCTTCTCTTCTTAAGAACCAGCTTCCCTCTTTTTCTTCCTCCTCTCCCAATTCTGACTTGGGGTCCAGGATAACTCACAGTGGCCAACGGGCTACGGCCACCTTGTCGTGGCCTCCTGCCCTGAGCCAACTCACCATGGCCTACTCGCCGTAGCCAACTCACCGCGGGACAACTCTCCATGAAACAACTCAATATGGGTTTATCATGCTTAGCACTTAGATTTATATGCCGCTTCATAGCTTAATTACCGTACATAGTTTGGTTCCTTTTATTACTCATCAAAGTATTACAAAAGCTGGTAGTCAGAGGAATGATTTTCTTTGATATAACAGATGAAATAATTCTGATGAATCAGAATATAGCCAGAAGGAACCTTGGAGGTCTTCTAGTCCAGCCCCTGCTCAAGCAGGAAATCTTATACCATTTCAGACAGGTGGCTGTCCAGTCAAAAACCTCCAGTGATGGAGCACCCACAATATCTACAGGCAAGCTGTTCCACTGGTGAATTGACCTTACTTTTAGGAAGTTTCTCCTGAATTTCAGGTTGCTTCTCTCCTTGGTTAATTTCCATCCATTGTTTCTTGTCCTGGTGCTTTGGAAAATAAATTGTCCCACTCTTTGTGACAGCCTCTCAAATACTGGAATCCTGCTATCATGTCCTCTATAATCCTTCTTTCCTTTAGACTGGCCATACCCAATTCCTGCAACCATTTTATGTTGTTTTAGTCTCCAGGCCTTCAATCATCCTAGTTGCTCTTCTCTGTACTTTTTCCAAAGTCTCAGCATCTTTTTTGTAATGGGCTGGCCAAAACTGGATGCAGTATTCCAGGTGTGGTCTCAATTAAGGCTTTATAAAGTAGTACTAATACTTCATGTGATTTTGATTCTGTCCCTCTGTTTATACAACCAAGGATTGCATTCGCTTTTTTGGCTGCTGCCGCACACTGCTTGTCATGCCCCTGTCGGAGTCTGAATCTGAGGAGGAAGATGAACAGCTGACAGGGAGTGGGAGTGTGGTTCCGTTGGCTGTGGAGGAAACTGGGGAAGGGCAAGGTCCGGCTGGGCAGAGCAGGGGAGAGGTAGAGCAAGGGAGAGGGAGTTCAGAGGAAGACCCGGGCCCACCACCCCCTCTTCATCCTAGGGCACGCAGGGAGGAACAGGGAAGAGAGCAACGTGGGTTGCGTGGCTTACGGGGGAGGAAAGGGCCCTGATTCCCTTCATTAACCACACCTGGGAAGAGAGTTTAAAAGAGAGGCAGGCTGAGTGTGGCAGCTGCTAGGAGCAAACTTGAGTTTATCTTGTGTTGACTTTGCTTATCTGTGTTCCTGGCATCCTCCCAACCGTGTTAAGCTATTGCCGTGCCTTCACATCTGGAATTCTTGCTCCTGCTCTGCCAAACTAATTATAATTATTTTGCCTTGCTTGGACTTATAATTACAATTGTCTCGGAGCGAGTCGGCCGCAGTGAGATGTCCCCGCGGCACGTTGGTGATGGCAAATTGGTTGCGGCGAGTTCTCCCGTTCCCTCTGACTCCCTCTCTTCTCCCTTAGACTTAGGAAAGTCTTCCCACCATCATCACCATCGCCGTCACCACCGGCGGATGACGTTGAAAGAGATACTGAATCGCGCCTGGCAAAAGATCCACCCATGCCTTGTTTACCTGCGAAAAACCATCTACAAATTGACCCAGTCCTTCTTGTTCGACTTCTTCATCTGTAGCGTGGTAGCCGTCAACACCATCTTGCTGGTGATACAGACGTTCGCTGTGGTCGAGATTCGGGGAGGTAAGTCCGTGTGTTTTCTCGAGATCTACAAGAGATCCCAAGAAGTTTTTGTTGATGCTTTCACCCAGCAGAGGAGAACACTGAACTGATCTCTACAGAGGTGGTATTCAGCAGGTTCTGACTGGTTCTGGAGAACCAGTAGCGGAAATTTTGAGTAGTTCGGATAACTGGCAAATAGCACCTCTGACGGTCCCGCTCTCCATCTATTCTCCGCCCCCGAGTCCCAGCTGATTGGCTAGGTCTTCTTTGGTTGCCCTGCACAGGAGAACGGAGCTGGAAAGCAGGTTAGTGGGATGGAGAGGGAATGGGGATTTTACATTATCCTTCCCCTGCCCTACCCACCAAGCCATGCCTACAGAACCGGTAGTAAAAAGTTTTGAATCCCACCACCGGTATATAGGGCCCATCTTAAAGTAAAAAGAGAGACCGATCCAATCCTTACTGTGGCCATGTCGTAGATATGGGTGGATCCCATCATGGCACCCCCAACCGTTGGCATCCGCTTCTCCGGCAGAACCGTGAATAGTTGGGGCGTCTCGCTTCTGTGGGGGGCAGAGAACCGGCAGGTAGGAGCAAGCAGGAAGAAAAGAAAAAAATGTTCAGAGAATCCAAAGGAGGAAAAAAAAAGAGAGAGAGAGAGATGCCTTGGGAAGAAGCCACTTATAATCGTTCAGAAAAAAAGATATAAATTGAAACGGGAATTAATTTGACAAGCTAACAGGTATGCGTGCGGGTTGCTTTCAGTGTCCCCCCCCCCCCAAATTCTGGGGTTTTCAACAGTGGCGAATTTTTATAGCTTGGGTGAGGATGAGGGCAAAGGTTTCTTCTCCAAGCTTGTGGGTTGGTTTCAGAGGTGGTATTCAGCTGGTTCTGATCGGTTCTACAGAACCAGTAGCGGAAATTTTGAGTAGTTCAGAGAATCGGCCAATACTGCCTCTGACTGGCCCCACCAATCCCATCTATTCTCTGCCTCTCATCGAGTCCCAGCTGATCGGCTGGATCTCCTTTGGTTGCCCTGCACAGGAGAACGGAGCTGGAAAGCAGGTTAGTGGGGTGGGGAGGGAACGGGGATTTTGCAATATCTTTCCCCTGCCACGCCCACCAAGCCACGCCACATTTATAATTACTGGCTGAATGTATAAAGGCAGACAGATTTAAACTCCACAAAGGCATCCATACAAATTCTCTTTATTGGTTCATCAGGCATCCTCAAATATAACTCACAGTTACACTGAGATTCCTCTCAATGTCCAATTCTCTGCATAGCTGACTTTATGGTGTAAAAGGATAGTGATCTTTCATCCCATGGTAGTGGAGCAGAGCGGAGAGATGTCAGCACGATGCTGGAGTCTGAGCAAGGGTGAAGGAACCTCCCCCAACCCACCAAGGGTCTATTCAGTGACCACATGACATGGACTACATTTCCCAGGATGCCTTCCCTTAAAGGGATAGCTCCCAAATCCTAACTACCTATCCCCATTCCCTATTAACTATATACTGTCTGGACAGCACACCATGCCCACCAAGCCACGCCACCAAGCCACGCCCACAGAACCAGTAGTAAGAAAATTTGAATTCCCACCACCGGATCTCTAGATGCTCTGAGAGGAATAAGGATGGGAATCTACCAGGAAATTTCAAGACTAAAAGTTAACAAGTAGATACATGGAGTTCTCTGAACTTATGACCACAATAGAGCCCACATTTCCTCTTGCTAAGTGAAGCAGTTGTTAAATGAGCTTGGCCTCCCCCTCGACTTTGCTTATTCAGAAAGCCGCAAAAGGGGATCCTGTGACCCCCCCGGAAAACTCCGACCATCATAAATATGAGTCAATTGCCAAGCATCTGAATTTTGATCATGTGACCATGGGGGTTAGCGCAACAGTCGTACGTGTGAAAAACGGCCCCTTTTTCAGTGCCGTTGTCACCTTGAACAGACACTGAGCGAACCATCGTAAGTCAAGGACCCCCTGTATTCCGTTAGTGTGAATTCTCTGGTCACCTTGCTTACGATGGTCTTTCTTTCATCCTCTTTTTTTAGAATGGTTATTTTCTGCCCTGGACCCGGTTTTCCTCTGTGTCTACGTGGTGGAGGCCATCCTCAAATTAATTGCTTTAGACTTTAACTATTTCCGTGACCCCTGGAATGACATTGGTGAGTCTTTTGCCCTGGGGACAAGAAATGGGAGAGGCCACAGGGAGAGGCTTGCAATGGGTACAACCTTGGAACAGGCAATGGGAGGAAACACGTATGGAATTCCATGCGCTGGACTGTTAATATTGAAACCAGGCGGTGATTTCAGTGTGGTTTGTGGCCCCTTTGCTCTCTTTAAAATATTTTTTTGAAACCTCCAACCAAATTGCTGAGAGCCAGTTTGGTGTAATGGTTAAGGTGCTGACCTAGAAACCAGGAAACTGTGAGTTCTAGTCCCACCTTAGCCATGAAAGCCGGCTGGGTGACTTTGGGCCAATCACCAGGAGATGGTGAATTCTAGTCCTACTTTAGCCATGAAAGCTGGCTGGGTGACTTTAGGCCAATCACTAGGAGACGGTGAGTTCTAGTCCTGCTTTAGGCATGAAAGCCGGCTGGGTGACTTTGGGCCAATCACCAGGAGATGGTGAGTTCTAGTCCCGCCTTAGGCATGAAAGCTGGCTGGGTAACTTTGGGCCAATCACCAGGAGACAGTGAGTTCTAGTCACGCCTTAGGCATGAAAGCCGGCTGGGTGACTTTGGGCCAATCACCAGGAGAATGGGAGTTCTAATCCTGCTTTAGGCATGGAAGCCGGCTGGGTGACTTTGGGCCAATCACCAGGAGA